CTCATGCATGTTGTCGGCCCTCTTTTCACTCTACTCTCGGCTTTTCACCTTCCCGTCCTTTCTGCTGGGCCTTGGGAACAGCCTGGGAAGAGACCTGTCTCAGGCTGCCCCAGGGCTGGAGAGGAGTGAAGCCCTCCCCCCGCGGCACACAGACTCACCCTGACCCTTCTGTAGTGTGCACAGCATTGTACGCAGCGCCTCATAGTCTGGGAGCCCACAGACCCCAGGACCGTAGTGCCCAAGCACTGGATTCCAGGCTCAGAATCTGGTCTGCCCTCTGGTCCTTCCCCAGCCCTCTCCCTCCCCTTCAGTCACCCAAAAGAACCTTGCCCCAGGCAGCCAGAGCCAGTTCAAACAGAACTTCCTGAGAAAGGTGAGAATGCAGCCGACCCAGCCTGAGAAAGTGGCCCTGAAGCCACAGCAGTTCAACCCGTCAAACCGGAAAATCACAGATCACAGCTTCCTCGGAATCCAGAAGGGGTGCAGCCAAAAGGAGCCCTTTAAAACAAAAGGTCCATCTTTTTCCCTCCGACTTATTTTGCTTAGCATAATACCCACATGGTCCATCCTAGACTTCTGGTGGTGAACACGACGTAGTCTATACAGCAGTCGAAATATAATGATGTACACCTGAAATTTATTTAAAAAAAAAGGGTCCAGAGACCAGGTGACAGGTCTACTCAGAAAAGACCAAGGATGGGAGGGAGAAAACCACCTCGTGGGCAGTCCCTCAGCTTGCATTAGTGGCTTACATGTCACTCCTGGCTGCCACAGCAAAGGAAAGCAAAGGTCTCCTGCACGCAGATGTCCACGTAGAAGAGGACATCTCCCTGCCTGGGCAGGCAGCACAGGTCACATGAGGCCCTTTTAGGAGTTACCAGGGTGATGGGTTCAAACCACTCCCTACTTCTGGAGGGAAACAAGCACAGGTGAGGGTGCGGAGGCTGGTCTGGGTGCCACAGGAGGGGGTGTGGGGGAGGAAGGAGGAGGAACGAGCTGTGAGGTTCCTCCGTGCACACCTACCACCACAGCCCTGGACTGGTCTCCCTGCTGCCAGTCTTAACCTAAGTGCTGTTTTCACCATGTCATTCCCCAGCTAGAAATCTTTCATGCCACTGCGAAGGCTCAGGGTCCTCCTCAGCCAGGCCCTTGATGCCCTCTGGGCCTGACATTCATCCCTCCATTTAACAACATCCCTGGGGATCGTGCCTGGCCTTGCCTGGCTGGGTACTAGGACTGTGAAACAAAGAGGAATAAGATTTGGTCTCACCCTCAAGGCACTTAAAGTATAGTGTGGGAGACAGAGAGATAAACAGAGGAAAGTTCTCATTCTTCCCCTAAAAGCTCCCCTCTGCTCCAGCTAGACTGCCCAGGGTCCCAGGGACACCCACTGACTTCCCACCTCCATCATCCCGCTCCTATTCCTCCAGCTGCTCCTGCCCCACAGGAGCCGAGAAGCAGCCCACACTGCAAGGCCTCGCCTCAGCCTTCTCCTCCAGAGCCCTCCCTGCCACCTCTCGTCCACTCTCCTTCTCCAGCTGCTCTAGCGCTTGGTCGTAGCAATAGCACTCATGGTCCCCTCACTGTCCACCGCTGCCTCATGCACGTCTTACGTCATTATTCAGCTTCTGATGGCAACTGCAAGCCCTTCTTTATAGTAACAACACCGACCACAACTTATCCTACAACTGCAGAGCGCTTCACCAAATGCTCCCAGGTAGATCATCTCATTGTGGCCAAGACTCTCTTTGGCCTGCGTCTTGCTACTCCAACTAGATTACAGGCTTCTGTGGGCAAGAAAAAGTGGACTGAATAGGCCTCTAAAATGCCTGGCACGGTGCTCTGTAGTGAATCTTAATGATAAGGAAACAGCAGGGAACAGTAAGGCACCGACTGCCCCCTCGACTGCCCCCTCGACTGCCCCCTCAGCACCGCATCTGGGTCAGCACAGCTGCATGGGAAAGGAATGCAGGCAGCACCAGGGCCACCTGGCCACCTGCTGACTTGCTGCTGACTTGAAAGAAGACGGGCAGTCAGTCTACCTGGGAGGTCTCCTTGCTGCTCCCTGGCAGGCATGTCACAGGCTCTGGAATGTCACAGGCTCTTACAGTAAGTGGTGTAAACAGTAAATCACAAAAGTGCCTGCCTAGGTGACATGATCATCATGATCCAAAAATCTGAACTCTGTCTTGGCAGTAACTGCTGAATTGCCTCGTTTTCCCCATTCACAAAAGGAGCTCCGGGAAAGGTGCCTGGATCAATGCCCAGTGTGGTAAAAGACTGTGTCTCAGACGAGGTGCAGCCTGAGAGAGGTGACTGCCTGTATTATGCCTCTGGGAATCTCCAGGTCGCAGCGCCTAGCCTAGTGACAGGACACATGCATTTCTTTTTGAATGGATAAATTAATGACTATGACTTGGTAGTACCCATTTTCTTGGATCCTTGATTTGCCTCCTGGCTGCCCCTTCCAACTCCGTGGGATACTTGCTGTCTCCCTGGAGGGAAAGCTTTTCTTGACTGTCCCACTCTCCGTAAGTCTTAGTTAAGGCTGAAAACACGCCTACGCGGAGGTAGAATCACAGGTGCCCCAGGAAGCTTTAAACGAGAACACAGTTAAGAAACCAGGTGGGCAGATCTTAAAAGGCTGGTGTGAAGAAACACAGGTTTCTTTCTCTTCCATGGAATCCAAACTCCTAAACAGTCCTCTGTGTCCTAGGGAAAGGGGGACCCAGCCGTCAGAAGCAGAGCAAGAACTAGGAGAGCCGTCTGCAGGTTTTAGGTCAAAATACCAAGGGCCCTGAGGGGACAGTAGGAGAAGGGTGCTGCAGAGACACTCCCCCCGTTCACTGATTCACTTCTGCCCCCAATGTGGTCGGCCCAGAAGGATTCTGATGGAAAACTGCACATTCACGTGTCCAGCACGAAGAGGTGTCTAAGCTGGGAGAAGACAAGGTGGAAGAGACATAGGGAGAAGGGCTGGTAATTAGCCACACGGGGGCAAGGGACTTAAGGACAGCAGGCGCCTCGGGGGGGCCATCTTGGTATTTTAGAAACAGCGGTTCCCTCATCGTCTGTGGGGAGGGAGGACGCGTCTCCTAGGGGAGGCTAGCTCCCCCACAACACTGAGCAGGAGCCCAAGAGCTTCTGAAATGAAGTGGCTGAGTAGAGCTCTCCAAGGAGAAACGCAGGTCACTCCTAGGACCTGAAATGTGGCCAGGACCCAGGGCGCAAACTACTGCTCTTCAGGCAAAGCCAGGGGCCGCCAGGCAGCCCCCAGCCCTCTGCGACTGGGCAGCAGCTCCTGGCACCAGGCCCACCCCAAAAATAGCCACTGCAAGTTTCCTTGGTGCTATCCTGCTGCCCTTTTTCCCCAAGCCTGCAACCTGTCCTCATATCCCATCTTGTCCCTCAGCCCCTCCCCTGCTCACTGCCAGGCCTTTCCCCAACGCCGCCTCCTCCCTGAGCCTTCCCCTGGCATCCTACCCCACCCATCCTTCTGAGATGTCTCTCCTCCAAACAGTGGCCCAGCCCAAGCTCCTACCACCTAGGAGCCTGCCTTTCAGCTCCCCTGAGAAAGACGAATGCGTCTGTTCGTGACCCTAAGTCCCTTGAAGGTAGTGAAGCAAAGAGAGAGTGAGACCCAGGAGCTCAATGATGATGACAACAGTAACAGCAACCAGCATGGCTTCGCCATGTATCTGACTGGGTGCTAACTGCTTTTACAGACATTATCTCATTTAATCCTTACAACACCTCGGGAGGTAGATATTGTTATTACTCCCAGTCTACAGATGAGAAACTAAGGCTCAGAAGCTTAAACAATATTCAAGGTCACACGGCCCCAAAGTGAAGTCTCCAAGTCTGTCTGACAACAAAGACCACGAGGCTCTGTTGCTCCCGGCTCTACCTGCTCCCTCTTCTGTCTTGGCAAGGAGTGTGTGTTGGGAGGGAGGGCGGAAGTCTCGAGTGAAAGCTGGGTGCCGGGCCCTCTCTGACCAGAGGCAGGACCTGGGCAGTGCTGAGGCTACTCCAGGGCATCAATGGGGAACCTGTCAGATGTGGGTGGAATCTCCCAATTCAGACCTCAGAGGAGGAGGCCCATCAGGGCCCAAGGGGGGGGGAGGGCTCCTCAGAGGGGAGGCCACCCACCCCCTCCCAGAACAAGTGATCCCATCCTAGTCCTGTCTGGACTGCCACCAGCCCTGTCCCTCTAAGCACAGGCTCCAGCACTGCCAGATCAGAGAGATGTATTACTCTCAGGTGGGTCCTGCCTGCCTTCTGACCCCTGGGTCTGGACCAGTAGTCCTGATGGTCCTCATCCTCCTCAGCCTCCTTCAAAAAATGCTGCAGCCAGCTGCTGTTCTGGAGCTGACTGATAAGCGCCCGTTTCACACACATGCGTGAACGTTGGCGTCGCACCTTATCTATGCCCTCCTCCTTGTCTATGCCCTCCTCCAGGTGTCCCACCTCGTGGCTTACCTTCACAGCTGTGCCCTGGAAACTCAAGCCCTTTGGCCCCTCCCTTCCTCCTCTCTTCCCCCTCCTGACTCCACACTGGGTCACTCCTGAACTGAGGGTACCCAGTGACTCAGTGACCCGGCTCCCCACCCTGAACTCCTCTTCCCGAGCATAGGCTGTACCCCCCCCCCTCTCCACCTGGGGGTGTGGGATGTCATTTCGGTGGCTAGGATTCTCGCTCCTCCAGCTCGGGGTGCCCAGGCCTACACCCGCCCCGGCTCCGATGGGAAGGCTCCCCAGCCAAGGCCGGAGAACCTCTCTCCAGTCACGGACAGCAGCAGGGACCCCTCACCTCCGGGAACCGGGGCTCAGGTCCCCAGCCGGGGGCCCCTCACGCCGGGATTCAGTCCCTCGCCCTGACCTCCCGCGCCGCCGCCTCTGGCCCGAGGGGCGGACAGCCCTCTGGGGCTGGGCAAGGGGAAAGGGCCCCGGCAGGTGGTGGCGCGGGGAGGGTGGGGCGCCCTGCGGCCACCGCCCCTTACCGATGGTGGAGATGTGCGAGGAGTGGAACTCGTTGTCAGTGAAGCGGCACAGCAGGCAGGTCTTGCCCACCCCGGAATCCCCGATCAGCAGCAGCCGGAACAGCACATCGTACTGCTTCGCCATGGCTGGGCCGGAGGGGCCGGGGCTGCGGGCGGGCGGCGCTCAGCCGGCCGTTGCTCACTT